ACTTTGGAGAAAATCCAGGACTCGCTGGAGGGATTATGTATCCCCTCTGGCCTGGGAACGTCTCGGAGTCCCCCAGGACGAGCTGGAAGGTGTCGCTGGGGAGAGCGGGGTCTCCTGCTGCTGCTCTGCGACCCGATCCAGGATAAGTCAGCCGGTCGGACAATTTATATTGTAAGTCTAAATTATTACATTTAAAATTATAACTCTAATTCAAGCAGAATAGCCTATTGTCAACATAATTATGGAGTGTAATTTATTTTCAACTCAAAATATCTTCAAACTAACGAAATATAAAGTTATTAATGAAGAAAACCCGTCTGGAWAACAGCAGACTGACTGCTCGTAAAATATACGACAGGTCTGGACCACTCGTGAATTTTGTTCGTATCTGAAAAAAATCAAAGAATACAAAAACATTGGTGAATGTCACAAATTCTCCTAAATCACTCGTACGCACAACTTAAGAACAAATCTGTGCGTACGAACGGTTCTTGCATGAGGCCCATTATTTCTTCACAATTCAAACTTTTACAATGTTAAACCAATTTTATTGATTTTTCTGATCATTTGATCATTAAAGATTCAGTAATGTGTGGATTGAATAGGAAACATTTTTGGAAATTAAATAATAAATTTCTTCAGAAAGATATGTGAGCTGCAAAGGTTGCTGGGTAGCCATGTGACAATAATATGTGCAATACTTAGGACTGTTTATGAGAGTGGAAATGATTGTTCTGGTTAATGTCTTCATTTGCTGTAATCTGACACAATGAGTCAGAGGTTGTTCCCAGTGTTTATAGTGAGGGAAATATTGTAAAATATTTCATTAAAGCTGATGTTATGCAGAGGTCTATAAAGTACTTGAAAAAAATAACTAAGTAAAAGTAAAATTACATGAACAGAAAAGGACTTTGGTAAAAATACATTTCACTGATGAGAAAACTACTTAAGTAAAAGTCATAAAACTGTTCACAAAAATTAAGAAAGTAAAAGTAAAAGTACTTTTACACACTCTAAGAAATAAACTGCTGAATTTGCTGAACCAAACTGGTTCCACTAAGCCAGGTTGAGTGAATTGAGCAATAAATGTATATTCTTTGCTCAGTTTACTCAACTAGGCTTAGTGGAGCCAGTTGACATGACTTTGTTGAGTAAATTCAACACTTCATTTTTTAAAATGCATAAACAACATCTTTCATGATGAGTTCAAACTTTTAATTTTGTAATGAATAACTAAGTGTTACATTTTAAAGTAAAGAAGTAAAAGRATCATTTTTAGCTTTAAAATTTAACAAAGTAAAAGTCAAAGTAGCTATTTAAAAAATTGTTGGTAAAATTACAAATCTTCACGCAGTAGTAACGCTATTGTAGTACACCTGTCACATGTATGTGTTGCTGTCTATAAAGGTGAGTGAGGTTAATATCTCAGCCTCATGTAAAATGGGTTCATGAAAATTAACATTTTTTTCTGTATGCTTATTTGATGGGGAGGGGTGTGATGTTTTATACACACGATAATGTTGAYAATTATGAACGACAATGATCAGAAACAGAGGTGTTTTAAAGCATTTAGGAATTGCGCTTTTATTGCGAGTTTGGGTTTTCRTTACATMTTTATTTTTGTTATGATGTAATGTTGGAARGTTCTGTACTCAGTGGTCTGAACCATAAACATTTCTTCTGAAATGTTTGATTACAGATTAGACCAACAAGCAAAGAAAAGCTACAGCTTCTTCATACAAGAACACATTTACCCATAATTCAATAATCTGTTAATCCAGGGTTCCTGTGGATCCTTAAAAAGGCATTGAATTCATCAATCCAAAATTAAAGCCTTAATTAGCTTTAAAATGTCTAAAATCAATCTTTCAGAAGGTCTTAAAATATTAACACATTGTAACAGGATGATTTTAATTTGTCTGAAATACTAAAATGTGACATTTATTTTTTAATAATTTACCAAATGCCTCCTGCAGCTAGTTGTTTTGTGTTAAAATAAACATTTGGGTAAAATTGTCACTAACTGGTCTCAATATATATGATATTTGTAAATGTATTTTTGATTATTAATCATAAAGCAAAATAAAGATATATAATTGATCAACTTGCATGTTTTACTCTGAAAAGATTTATTTTTAAGCTAAGTACGGTGTGTCCTCGTACCTCGTATATCTGACCATGCTTGGTTTCTGTATTTGTAAGCGTTTAAAAGCAGGAGTCATGCTTGTTGACTCCACTCGGTCTCCGCTGAGCCTTTCCTGTCTCGTAAAAGCGGGCYGCAAATGACCGTGAAAAAGCTCGTTATTTGGACTTTGCTCTGCTTCAGCTCCATCAGAACATGAACCTTCGGAGTGTTGCTCATCCTGCCAGCATCGTTTGTGTTCGCACCTCTCCATGCTCTTTGTTATTAGGTCAGCCCAGCACCAGGTTTTTCCTCTGCTGCTCAGTGGTTCGTGGCATTGGCTCCTGTAGAGGTGATTTCCTGTCTGCTTGCATGCGTTGGGCTGAGTCAAGGTGAGGTAATCAAGTTGTAAAATAAAAAAAGAGAGGAAGAGCTGCGGTCAGTATGGGTCTTCAACAGACATCAGCCGTGAACCCAAAAGGGTGGCAGAGCAGTCAAAATGAATCATGACTGCTTTTACGCTACATGTCTCATACTGTTGGCTTTTATGACATTGAAAACATCTTTTGTTTTAAACCTGTAACACTGTGATAAAATACCATTTTACAGTCTTTCTCATCTAGTAGATCAGTGWCAAACCCATTTTCACTGAGGGCTACAGTACCATGATGCTCAAATGGCCAGTTGTAAATAACMTTGACGCTCTGTGTTTAACTTGGARTAAACATGAAAAGTTCCCCATATTATTGCTCAGCATGAGCACTGCTAACAATCGATAACTGAGCTCTACATGATGATGATGATGATGATGATGATGATGATGATGATGATGCCTTTATTGTCATTGTACAGAGCACAGTGAAATTACATTTAAGAACACCCATTCAAGAAGATACTCATGACAAAAGCATGGGGAAACAGGTGATCAGGTCATGCAGCAACCAGCATGGTATTTCCTGCATAGAAACAGCGTTTTAACATGTCCTCCTATAAACACTGAAACGTGCTGCATGTACAAACGACTAAATGTAAAATAAAATATTACAAAAATACTAGTAAAGGTTTTACTCACTGTTGAGTTGTGGTGAGTAGCTGTTGTCTTCAAATCTGAACTCTCCCACTTTCCAACAGGAAATTCCAACTGGAGTGGCCTTCCAGTTTAAATGTAAGTAGGAAATTCCTGCTTCCTAGTACAACTGGACTGCAGCAAAGATACCTGGCAAAAATGCACTTAAAAATTGATTTTACACAGTAAATTTTGACAGCTACTGGCTCTTTTTTAACCCTGTGTTGCACCATGTGTGGGAGGTCTTCGTTTCATTGGTAAAACCGTTTACATGCATTATGGAAGATGTAGTTTAGGGTAAATGCTGGAAAACAAATAATGGAAAACAAATAATAGATCTCTGCTTTACTTTTTCTTTACTTTATTAAACTGAATGTTTACAAACCAGGCACCAAAAATGCCGCAATTGGCTTGCTAACTAACTTTGTGTTACTTCTTCTGCTGCAGCTCAGAGTAATCTCTGAGCTCACTAGCGCGCCTGAGCCCGAGAACCGTCAGCCTCCACTCGTGTCTTTTCTCAGCCATTTCAGCTCACAGAACACGTTACACAAATACATATTTATGTAAGAAACATCAGCTAAACTGTGAAATGCCAAGTGTYTATTCAAACAAAAATTCWGAAACATTTTACTGGTGACATATAGAGACGAACTCTGCTCTCACTGAATAACCTGCAGATGGGATTGCGCAATCCAAGTGGAGATGGAGCGTGGTTGAAAGAATTGTACAATCTGGAGGCGGAGCTTGATTTTGCTTCCTAGTCTGTCTCATCCTGTTTTTGAACAGGAAATTAGGAAATTCAGCCATTTTTAATAAGAAAACATATTAAAAATTGATTAAGTTAAATRGAAAATGTGTTTAAAGTTCAAAGCATTGTATAAATATGACAATTTAATATGTTTAATATTGTTTTTCTTTTAACTTTCCGTGATCGCAGGGGAGCCAAAGCCTACCCTGCCCCTAGTGACCACACGCCAATTGGGAATTTTGTRGCCATGTTCCTGCAACAACCCCCTGTTCCATACTTAGGTCTCTCTATGCTAAAGTATTAGCAAATGAGTGAGTAGGTGACAGTTTGTGTATTTTTACAATATTTTAAGTGCTGGTGAAATAAAAGCATTCTCAAACACTCCCTAAAAATGCAAATATCTCCTACTGCAGAGAAAAGCTAAGTCAAAGGAAAAGTGTGTATAAATGAGTTTCTTGGCAAAATATCTTGTGTACCATTGGACACATTTTAATGAAAATTACAGAAAATTTTGTTTGTTTGTTTGTTTGTTAMCTTGCTTGTTTGCTTGATTGCTTCTTTGTTTGTTTCACAAAAACCAAATTTACATAAAACAAAAAATACACTTCTAGAGTTACCCTGATTCCATATATCTGCCACAACTAATAGACCTTAAAAG